TTTCAATCTCTGCCTTAGAGATTGCTCCATATGACTTTACTAGAACCATTCTTTCGCTGAACAGGAGATATTATTCTCACTGAAGTTGATACTGCGAGCAGTTCTGGAAAACAAAATGCTCGAAGTGGAATGATTTTATGAGCAGTTTGTAAACCTTAAACTTCACAAGGAAAATTTTTCTTCGCAGTAGTTCACTGTCGCGACATGGAATGTGATTGTGAATACAGCAATTTAAAAATTAAACGCGTTAGTATACGTCTTAAGTAGTAAAAGGAATATAGCACTTTCTCCTGTGACCATAAACAAATTGTTGCTGAGATGTTATTTCTGTCAGTTACCATGGTAGTAAAACTGTTGGATTGATTGTCACACAGACATTTGGGAACAAGGGATCCTGAGTACAGGGAACTCAACAACCCTCTTTCCGTAGTTGCTCTGGAGGGCTAAGCTTCATTCTTTTGAAAATTCATACCACTTTGTAGTATTGGACTGAGCAGTGTCTTCACTCCGCATCAATCGCATTGTTGATGCCAGTTTTTCGCGAATGAGTGTCTGCGCGCTTAAATGTTGTTTGCAGAGATTGTTGCCTTGAGCTCTTTGTCTAGGCATAACCTATGTGATATGCCCTATCCACCGCATTCGCAGATTTTCAGCACTTTTGCTGTAAGGCACATAGCTACTGCGTCGTTCAAGGAAATATTCCATTCTGAAAACAGATCTGCTTCTACCTTGTTCCTCCATCTTGCACGCTCACATCCTGGTCGACGCGACGTCCAACCATACATACGTACATACATACATACATATACACACATACATACATATGCATACATACATACACATACATCGTGATTCAGTCTCAATACGAGAAGCTCATGAGCTGGAGTAAGTGGTTTATGCTCGACCAGTTTCTGTAATAGGATCAGTCTTCTTCTCTCGGTCTCCACATCGGCTGAGGTCATCTGTGTCTGGAAGAGAATAGAGTCATTACTTACATGATCTCGCCGTTTAACCCTTGTTGTCACTTGAAGCCAACGTTGCTGTACGCAGCTCAGCAGTCTTTCTTTCTGAACGGCTTAAGTGTAGTCTTTGTTCCTTCGTAAGAAAAACCGTCTCCATGCTGTACAACAGTACTGACCTAACGGAGGCAAGGACAGGTGGGTTTGTTGGGAAAGAGACACTCTCCTCGGCCCATATACTAAACAGGTTTCCAAAAGCACTCAAGGCTACGAAATTGCTCCTGTTTAACCCTGGCTGGGTGGTGCCATCGCTTGAGTAGATGAAACCGAGATATTTAAATTAATCAGCCTCCTGAAGTGCTTCACCTCCCCTGTTTCACTCAGAAGTCGGCTATGCGAGATGGGTTCCTTATAATTTTTGACTATCGGGCGTTCAGAAAAGGCCGGTTTTCTCAGCTGTGTTGAATGCGGAAGCCGTCAGTGATAGAAGTCGCTTTTCTTACTACTCATCAGGACAATACCATTTGCGTACCCCAGATCAACAAGATATCTGGTCAGGCATCATGTATTGCGCCTTCCATTTAGACTGAGACTTTAATCTTTAACAAGTCAGCACTATTTCTAAGAAGCACGTCATAAAAATTTAAATAATTGTTCTGATCTACCCAATGGCGCAATGCTACCTAGTCGCAGCTATCAAGTTTTGACCGCCTTTCATTGATTTAACGTAAAAATAACAGGGAAGCTGATTACCTCCCATATGATTCTTCCATGATAGTCA